ATTATTATACACAAGGTAATTAATAATATATTAATTTTGGATTTTATATTAATACTATAGATTGTGTTGTAAATTATGCCAATTTAAATTATGGCCAATCAAGCAATAAATCATTCATTTTATATAATTGTATAATAGAAAATAAAAATAAAGTTTTGACCTTTTCTCATGCCTTTTAGCATAGACTCTACCAGTGGTTGGCAAAATTTTCTTGCATCGAAACGATATCCAGTAGTAATATTTTCTTCAAGATTAAAGTATTTTTCGAATTTTGGTAAAGGATCATCTATAATTTCTCATTTTCCAAAGAAATTTCGCTATCTTCAACAATCTCACACATTTTTAATAACTAGATTTATATTTTATATTTTTAAATATAAATTTAAATTACAAAATTTAATTAAATAAAAAGATTATAATTTTAGATTTAAAAAAAATATAATAATTTTTAGATGTATTTATTATGTAAAATTGAAAGTAGCTAAGTAGCGCACTACTTCGCTACTTTCTAAATTAGTAGCGAGCTACCGCTATTGCTATTTTCTAAAAAAAAGTAGCCAGCTATAGCTAAAGCTACTTAAAAAAGTAGCGGTAGCGCGCTATTTTAACAATACTGACCAGAATCACCTATCTTTTTTTACCTTAAACCGAACTAACCCAGGCAAAAACTTTGACGGGTACGCATCCCTGGTTATTGTACTTATTATATTTATTGTATAAGCGCATTTTTTATTACCTTACATATTTCATATACATCAATCAATTTTTTTTAAAAAAAAATCGGCACGGTAATCATAATTAAAATTTTAATAAAGTTTTCAATGAAGGACCACAATATTAAAATGATCTCTTTAAATATAAGATCCCTGAATGATAAACTAACTATACTTAGGCAAATCATGAAAGACCAACATTACGATATCCTCCTTTTACAGGAGACCCACCTTAAAGTAACTGAGGTAAGGAACCTCTTAACACCTTATATTGCAGCTCAAATGCTGAACACGTATGGGCTGGGGTGGCGATTATGATACATAATAAACTAATAAGATTCGTAAGTTTCAACCCAATTTCCAGCCGAATATGCTGCCTTACCCTAAACTTAGGATACAAAATAGTCCATTTGTATAATATTTACGCGCCTCACAATGATAGCGTTTTCTATATGGAATGAAGGTCTTAAAGGAACTATCGCATCAGGATGGCATCATTCTAGCAGGCGACTTCAATGCTTCGGTAGGTAAATCCATTAACTCTTCCTGCATTGGAAACGCCACATTAATACAAAGCACGAACCCCAACGGTAAAAGGTTAATAGAAATCTGCGAGCTTTTCAACATGAAAATTGGAAATACTTTCTTCAATCATCCAACTCATCACATCATGACTTACAAGAGTCCTTACTTTGGCACTACCTCACAGATAGATTTCTTTGTAATTTCCACTAAGATTTTCAAGTGGGTGAGAGACATTAGGGTAATCAGTAAACTAAACCTTGTACTTTTTACGGATCATTATCCACTGGGTTGTGAACTCAAAATTAACAACAGTATTTTCCCAAACCACACTAGACAGAACAGTCTCATCACTGTAAAATACATAGCTAGAAAAGACTTGGCACAACTAAATGACTTAGAGGTGAAAAAAGAGTTCGTCTCTAAATTAACATCATGGAGAAACACAGTAAATGGCATGATAAACCCAAATCTGACCTGGAAGGACATTAAGCTGAATTTATTAGGTATAGTATAACATCATGCTTAAGACCACGCACCAAGCGCAGAGAGTGGCTCACCCCTTCAACAATACAAATAATTAAGAATCTTACAACAAATATATCCAACCATCAATTCGCAAGACATCATAGGAGGTACATTACTCACCACATAAGGGCTGACAAAAGACTGTTTATTGCTAACTTATCGAATTCTATCCAATTCAATTTTGATAATAATAATATTTATAAGGCCTTCCAATCTCTAAAACTACCACCTTTAAAACCAATCCTTTACCAAGACTACAATTAAATAAAAACAAGATTATAAATGACTTTAAGGAACAATTAGACTTATGGATAGACCACTACATGAACCTCTACAAACGAGATGGCCTAGACCTAGATGTGACTACCCCTTCCAATCACCCAGTCAGAATCTGAACAAGTCCGATATAGTCGGTGCCATCAAACGTCTAAAAATACATAAAGCTGCTGGAGCTGATGGAATTTTTGCAGAACTCTGGAAGATAGAGGTAGACCTAAGTGCCAGCTTACTACTTCCCCTCTTTAGGAAGATTTGGAACGGGCAAGTTTCCTGACGAATGGATGACATCAATTATACTAAACTTCCCTAAAAATAAGTCCCCAAACTGCCTTAAAGATTACAGAGGTATTGCACTGATTCCAGTCACACTAAAAATGTTCACATACATCATATCCGTCAGGATTAAACCAATCATTAACAGGTTCCTTTCTAATGCTATCACATCATACAGGAAGGGCAGAAATACTACAGAGTTGACTATGGCACTTAAGGTCATTCTGGAAAAGGACAGAATGCATAAATCCCCCATCTTTGCCCAAATGATTGATTTAAGTCAAGCCTTTGACTCTATAATTCAGAATAAGATATGGCCCTTGCTGGAAAACATTGGAATAGATAAGCATCTGATAGCGCTAATTAAGATAATTTACGACAATCATAGCGTAGTTCCTCGGCATCTAAATATGAAGTCGCAACCTTTTAAAGCAAATAGGGGCCTCAAACAAGGATGCATCGTTTCACCGATTATTTTTAATGTAATAATGAATGATATCCTAAATAAATCCTTTAAACAGGAATATGCACTCAACACATATTACAGTGATCAACAACACCTTTATGATATGCACAACTCTTTAAACTTTCTATGTTATGCTGACGACGTGTATTCTAGCCAACTCAGAATACAAATTAATATTTTATCATTATTTGTCAACAACTGTGATGGATATGGTTTAAGAGTTAACTACACAAAAACCAAACTGATCACCTCAAATACCGATGCGAGTCACTTAAACCCCTTTAACTTTGAGGGTAATACGATAGAATTAGTGTCAGATTTTAAATACCTAGGAACCAGGAAAACGTCATTAGGCCTCACTTTTTTAGATACGAAATCGAGAACGAATAATGCTAGACTCCGTTATCATCAACTATCGAAATTATGGTCATCCAACCAAATATCAACTAATTTAAAAATAAGACTCTTTGAAGTGTTTTATTAAATAAGTAAATTAGGTAAAGTAAGTAAAAGTATATTTAATACAAAATATTACGTATATATATATCATGAATTCAATCCTTCAGGTTATATAATTTACAAACGAAAAGTTAATATTATATTCAATTTAAATTTAATTTATATTACAGTTCTCCCCATTATAAATTGAATTCATCGTGATAACGTAATGGGGGTTTCGAAACTCTTTTTTCAAGAGTTGTATTCTCATGTTCTGCCTTTTCCACTTCTTCGGTCAACGTAACGGGTATTTCCTTCTCTTGTGTATGTGCATCCCTCAATTGATCTGCATGCTTGTTTTTAACGATCCCCTCTGATTCCACATCGTACAATATTGCGCTTTTTCGTTGTAACACTTTTCCTTCATGCCACCCTGCTGTCCTTTCGTTTGCTATCCAAACTTTTTGCTGCTCTACAAACTCCCGAGGTTCAACACTTCTATCTTTGTAGTACTTTTGTTTCCATAGAGCGTTTTCCGTCCTTTCTCTCGTTGATAATTTCCATTGATCTAATGTCGTCCTAAGCGACCTTCCAAACATCATCTCGGCAGGGGATTTACCAGTAGTTAGATTGGGAGTATTACGGTGAGTAATTAAAACATTCGCTAAATTTAACTGGTCCGGAGTCCCACATCTCCTTTCAGCATAGAACGCGTCTTTATCGTCCGTATATATCGTTCAGCCAAACCATTCAATTTGGGGCTATAAGGGGCCGATCTAAAATGTTTTATATTGTTTTTAAAAAGAAACGTTTTGAATTCAGATCCAGTAAACTGAGTACCGTTATCTGAGACAATGTAGTGAGGTAACCCAAATCTAGCGAAATAATTACGCAGATTATTTATTACACTCGCCGAATTAATATGTGTTAAAATTGCAACTTCAACCCATTTGGTAAAAGCGTCTACGCAAATTAACCAATATTTTCCAGATACGGGGCCTGTCAAATCAATGTGTAATTGTTCCCAAGGTCGGGTAGGAATGTTCCAATTGTATAATGGCACTTCTTTAGTTCCAGGCCTTCCTTCTTGACAACTCTTACAACATTTAACAAAGTCTTCAACATCAGTATCGAGATTTGTCCAAAACACGTAATATCTGCACAATGATTTCATCCCCACTATCCCAGGATGTCCTCGATGAATCACATATAAAACCTCCTTTTTTAAAATATCTGGAATAATAATTCTATCATTATAAAATAATAATCCTTCTTAGAACGAAATATTACCTTTAATCGAAATATATTTTTTTACAATCTCCGAATAATTATTTATATTATCAATATACCAATGATTTTTTATTAATTTAATAATCTCTTTTAGGTTTATTTCATTGCTCGTTTCACTTACGACTTTACTGCTAGTGAAAGATAAATCCTCTATTAAATTAATTTTTAATCCTCTGATTTCTTCTTCAAATTTTTTTGTAACTTCATTTGTTTTTGCTTTCTCTACCCCCAAACGGGACAGAGCATCGGCACATTTGTTATGATTACCTGGTCTATATATTATCTCATAATCATAATTTAATAGCTTCGTCGCCCACCGTATTAAACGGTTATTTGTTATTTTGTTAAGATCTCTTTTATCACCTAAAATATATTGTAATGGTTTATGATCAGTAACCAAGATAAAATGTCTTCCAAAAATATATTGATGAAACTTCTCGATAGCGAACATGATCGCCGAAGCCTCCCGATCAATTGTGGCATAATTCTTTTCAGCCGCCGAAAGTGTCCTCGATGCGTAAGCAATCGGTTTCTCCTGGCCAGTAAGAAATCGGTGTGCAAGCTCCTAGACCATCTTCGGAAGCGTCACAAGAAATCACGACAGGGATATCGGCTGAATAAGGAATTATTGTATCTTCTTTTGACAATATATTTTTAACTTTAGTAAATATTTCATTTTCTTTAGCTGACCAAAACCAACCAACATTTTTACTCGTTAGTCGGTGTAAAGGCGCACAAATAGAATGCAAATTTTTAATAAATGCCTCATGATAATTCACTATTCCAAGAAATGAACTAGTTCTTTAACATTGGAAGGTGTTTTAAAATTTTTTATAGCGCTAATCTTATCTTCTGTAGGGTGAATTCCGAAACTGTCAATAACATGACCTAAATAAGTGACTGACATTTCTCCGATTTTAATTTTATCGGTCGTCGTGGTCAGTCCAGCCTTCTCAAATCTTCTTAATACTTCTTAATACTTCTTCCAAATTAACTATATGATCGGAATTATTCTCACCTGCAATATTTATGTCGTCTAAAAATACACTAACCATAGGAATTCCCTTTAATAGGTTTTTCATAAAGTGTTGGAATATTATCGGAGCGCTAGTCAAACCAAATGGAATTCTTTGGTATCGGTAATAACCGACATGTGTCGAAATTACTAAAAGGTCCCTACATTCTGTGGACTAACTCCGAATTGTAAAAATGCATCTCTTAAATCTATTGTTGAAAATATTTTACCACCCGCGATTTTATTTGTTAGGTCGACGAAAGTTGGTAGTAAATCGTTATCGATCGCTAGATATTTGTTGATTGTTAAACGAAAATCTTCGCATATCCGTACGGAACCGGATTTCTTTAAGATATTAACCGTTGGCGTAGCCCAAGTGATTGGAGTTATTGTTGGATCCACCTTCTCGATAACGCCTTCGTCTAAAAGTCTGTCCAACTCAGCTTCAATGGTTCGACGCAACGAGAAAGGAACTCTTCTTGCTGGTAATGCAATCGGTAACGTGTTCGGTTCTATTCTGATGACTGCCTTTTGCAGTTTGATTTCACCTAATTTTTTTTTAAAAACTTGAGGGAATTTTGAAACAATCGTATTTAAAGAAGGAATATTCATATTTATTTTATTAATACGAACTTCTTCCGGTAGTTTTATATCAAATTCTCAAATGAAAGGCATCCCAAAAATAATGGAATTCTCCCCTTTAACTACCCAAATAAGTAAAAATTTCGAAATATTTTTTACTTTAACTTCTACGCTACATTTACCTAGTACTTCGATTTGGATATGATTATATCCCACTAATTTATAAGCCGGTGATAGTTGTGGTCTGCCAATACGATTCCAGGTGACCTCATCAATCACACTACACGCGGCGCCGGTATCAAACTCCATTGCTAGCTGCAACCCATTTATCTTCGCATCGATGGTTTCTTTATTTGAAAATGACAGGCGAGGTGTCCGTGGCAGAATCATTTGTATGGCGTGGGTTCTACAATCTTTCGCTATGTGGTTTGCCTTACCGCAACGAAAGCATATCACTTTCTTTTGAATAGAGTTAGGTTTGATACTAGGTCTATAATTATTATTAGGAATATAATTGTTACTAAAGTGTTTATTATTACTGAATCTATTGACGTTTGTATAATTATTATTTCTAAAATAATTATTTTTCGAAACCTGTGTTGGCTTATTTTTAATTATTTTATTAACTTCAGTCTGGGTTTCATTTTCCAACGAAGACAGCGCGATCGCTAAACGCACGGTCTCTTCAAAAGTAATATTGCCTTCGATATACTTTGACCGAAGTTCTTTGTCCAACTCAGGTAAGCCTACTTCTAGGATAAATATATCTCTTAAAGGTTCATCAAAAGGCGGTTTAAAATTACAAAGAGAACAGACAGTTTTAACCCTAATTGAAAAGTCAATAATCGTCTCATTACATCTTTTTAGCGTAAATTTTTTTTTCCTATTTACGAAAATGCTCGAACTATCCTTGAACATCAAATTTAAGCTTTTTATTAAAGTATCATAATTTATCATCTCTAAATTTATTGGAAAGTGAAAGTTCTTAATTTTGATAAGATTGTCTGTTCCGATATAGGCTAAAAGCAGGTCTTTTTTTGTATTTAAATCTATAATATTTCTTACTTTATAAATTAACTCCAAGTTAAATAAGTAGTCCTGAATATTTACTTTTTCTTTGACGAATTCTGGAATATGGAATTTAATAGGAACTACTTCCATTGAGTCTTTAACTTTAATAGGGACTACTTCCATTGAATCTTCAACTTTAAAAGGAGCTACTTCAATTGAGTCTTTTACTTTAAATTTAATAAATCAAATAAATCTTCTCTAAAAATATCGTCGCCAATGAAGTGTTTTATTAAATAAGTAAAATAGGTAAAGTAAGTAAAAGTATATTTAATACAAAATATCACGTATATATATATCATGAATTCAATCCTTCAGGTTATATAATTTACAAACAAAAAGTTAATATTATATTCAATTTAAATTCAATTTATATTACACTCTTCAAGTCCCTAATTGTACCCATTTTTACCTACGGCCTGGAGACTTGGCAAGACTCAAAAAGTAACATCAACACAATTCAGACTTTATAAACAAATGCCTTAGAAGAATCACCAAAACGTATTACCCATACAACACATCAAATACAATGCTCTGGAATAGATGCGACATCCTACCAATCAATCGTCTCATACCCTTGAGGCTAGGCCATAGCTTAAGACACTCGCAGGAAAATATGATATTCTCGTCCTTGAAATGGTGCCCTGACGGTAGGAAGAAAACTCCTAAATACTATTGGTTGGCGAAATGTTTGAAAGATATGGACCTGAGTAAACTCTCGTTTGCAGATTTCATGGCGTAGCAAAAACAAGAAACACCTAAAGGAACATTTACAATACATGTTAAAATATGTCCTAAATTAATATTGCAACCGTTCTTCTCCTTTACGTTCTTGCAATAAATGGAATAAGTATATTTGATAATGATAATAACCTGAACAACAACAACATAACTTAACTTCCTTGTATTAACCCACGACCTTCTTTTCTGGACACACGATATCAGCGACGATAACGATAACAACTACGAAACTATTAGTTGTATAATGGACAATGAGAAGATAAACTGGCTATAATAATAACACAATAACTCGGACGAACCCAAATATCATTGGCACAGCACATACAAGATCTACAGGACATACGATATCTGGCACACCGAACAACAAACAAGGAAGTGACACTTCATGCAAACTTAACATAAACTCTTAATACTTACCTAGATATAAGGGTTATTATTTTTTGTTGCCTCACTAAATACCACTTAAGGATGCAGGTACATTTTTTTATATGACATTATCTTTTTTTTTCCTTAACACTATTCTGCCGGAAACGCAACTAATACATCACCATTATTGTACTTCTTCCTTCTTCACTTTGCTAACTGGCTACATAGTGGTACCGTCCACTATAATAAAACGGGTAGACATCATGTATGGGATCTATATACTAGTGAAAATACATTATGCACGCTTCATATCCTGGTGGGTGATGAAATTGCACAGTGCACTGGCGTGGTAATGAATGAATGAATCAATTTTCTTATATGATATGAAGGAAAATATAAATTCTCCACTTAAACTTTTTGTTCTCGCTAAAAAAGAAATAACTGATATATTTAGTCGTCTACTTGCTTATGTCGATGATAATGAAATTTATATTAAAGTTTTACACAGTTTTATAATTTTAACAATTTATAATATATAGGACATTGAAAGTCTAAATAAGGATATTGTAGATGAAAATTATGTAAAATTAATTCAGGAAAATAAAGATAAAATTAGAAATATCTTAGATATTCTTGGTAGAAACCATATGAAAGTATGCACAATTACTAAATAATATAAAATGAAATTAGGTTGCCTTTTTTGGTAGAACTAGTAATGGAAAGAGTACTGTTATAAATGCAATGTTGGGGGAAAAAGTTTTACCTTCTGGTATTGGACATACTACAAATTGTTTTGTTCAGGTTGAAGGTATTGGTAATGCTGACAACTTAAATCAAAATGATGAGGTTATATATAATTTTTTTGTATTTTGATGACTTACCTTAATTGCTTTCATTAATTTTTTTTTGGTAAATTAACTTTTTAAAATGGATAAGTGAGCTATAGGTTGATATAAGCTTAAAAAATTTCACTCAGGTTGGACCATTCAAAGTATTTTCTATTTTCATGGACCAAGCTATTTTCAAAATATTTTTAAAACTGAATATAAGGCATATTTATATTCATTTTCCTTCATAAAAAATTATTATGGGCCAGGTAAGACAACTTGTAGATAATATTTGAACCAAAACACATTAAAAAATTTGGGCAAGTTCTGAGGTTATCTGTAAAATAAACTATTTAAATTATCATAATTTCAAAAGATAAATAGATTTTTCCAAAATTGTTTTTTCAGGCAATGGATCAAATTTTAACTCAATTATTTTTTAAGGCTATGTCCAAATTTTTTTAAAGCTTTCAGAGGTTTTAAAATTTTAATTTTCCTGGAATTATATTTTGGTTTTTATTTTTATATTTTGTGAATCATATTTTTTGATATTTTGGACTTAGTCTAAAATAAAAAAAAATTAATTTTTTGTATTAAAATGCATTTCATGTTTTTTTAACACATATCTTATATGTGAAAAGCTAAAATTCAAGTTCTACTTGACTATTTCTTAAATTAAGTTAACAGTTTTAATGTAAATTTTAAAATATGGTTTAATCTTTTAATAATTTCATAAAATTCACATTATGATTTATACTATTAAATTTATTGAATTCCTTAATAAATTATTATGAAAGCTATGATTTTATTTCTAAACATCATTCTCTGCTACATTCATCTCATAAAATCGATTGCTATTTGTTTTTTATTATTAAAATGAATTATAGCAAATAATGCATAACAATGATATATATATTCAAGGTATATATTCTTGCATTATTGAGTATTATATATTCTATAACCACATTTTTGAAAAATGCATTTATTTATTCTTTGATATATTCTTTCTTATCAACAATAAAAATATTAAAATTTAATTTAGATTAATCTTTAATTTGCATCATTATAATGTGATCTTCTATTTAAAATACAAGAAACATCTCTCTTTTTTTAAATGCTCTCCTGCAAAAATTTAAAAAGATGGATATAGAATTCTATAATATTTATCTGAAGATATGTAAGATAGTTTTACTTTATATATAAAAAAAATTTATTTAAAAATATTTTAGGTTCCACTGGAACCTTACATATATACAGAAGGAGAAATAAATAATGATGTGCAAAATTTTGAACATCGCAAAAGTATTAACAATGTAGAACAACTGGCCAATGCTCTAACTTCTGAAAAATTATCCCATGATTCTTTAGTTCATGTATGTTGGCCTACAAACAGATGTCCACTCTTGCGTGATGATGTCATTCTTGTTGATAGCCCTGGTATATATTCTTATTTTAGCCTAAAAAATGATTACATTTGTTTTTATATAAACAATTAATAAAATTTTGAAATCATTTCTCAACAAAAAATTAACATGTGTTCCTCTAAAATGAGTTACAGTTTTCAAAAGATCAAATAAATTAGGTAAACACTGAGAATCTGTAAATTATAACTAGTGTTTACTTCTATTTTTTTGGAGAAATGATTTAAATTACCTGGTATGGTAGTAACCATAATTAATAGCTATTAGGTCATTTCATGTCAAATCGATCAAAAATGGCTCATTTTCGGCCAACCCATTTTAAAATTGTTAAAAAAATTTGTAATTATAAGTTTAAATAAATGAGAAGGCCATTTATTTTAGCTTGCTGGCACACCTGGTTCATGAGATATAGGGGCTCATAGGTGCAAAAAGAGCCATGTTGGAATCTGTAAAATTTTTAAAATGCTTATATCTCTAAAAACTATTTATAGAAATAAAATATAATGTGTCATATTGTAGGTAAAACAAATTTCTTTCAAAAAAGGAAAAAATAATTCGAGTCTTTAACTTCCTGATATTGCTTTACCTGCTTTTAAGCAATAAGGGGAGTTTGTTTTCGGAAATTTTGCCTTTTATATAGACACCTTTTATAAATATATATAGGATGTCAGAACCGTGGCGACGCTATTGGCTCTTAAGAAATATACATTTTTAACCATAAATTGAAAAAAATAGATGGCGCTATACAAAACTACGGATTATGGTTGAAAAAAGATTATTCTTAAGGAAAATGAAAATATTAATACGCTTATAAGAAATGTGATACTATTCAGTTCTGCCCACGCCCCTTCACCATCCATCCATAAAAAGTTTTGCATTTTTAGATCTCTATTTTCCTACTATAGCGAATGACTTATTAGCTCGATAAAATTGCATAACAGCTGCATTAAAAAAGAATATTCATTAGGCTTATTTTTTAAGAGCATATTATTTTATAAAATAAACTGTTCAAATCGAACTATCTCTCTACATAATATTCTTAACTTGCCCGTTCAGAGTAATTTTAAATAATTCAACCCGTCTACACGCTTATTATGTTTACCATTAACATTTGGGATTTGGAGAGTGGAAAAACATTTATTCTAGATGCAGATCAATTAAAATTTTATTCTATATCCCAGATGGAAGATTAATGCTGATGAGTTTGCCCAAAATTACTTTAAATGAAGATTTAATTAAGATTACATATAAAGATATATTGCCAAAAATATTTGTAATCAGCATTGCCAAATTGCTTTTTTGGTGATGTGCTCAATGCCCTGGAATAATTTAAATGCCATGATAAGTGAAATATTATATTCAAGTGATGTCGAATATATTATCTACTTAAGCAATGAATAACTACAGATCGTACAAATCTTGTAACTATCACTTCATCAACCTCTAATTTTATAGAAACTCATTTCGAATAGCTAAATATTTTACTATTACATTCTTAAAACAACGCAGCAAGCAATATTGATGAATTCTATTAAAATTAATTTAAATGATGGAGAATATATCGTTTAGGTAGATTTCGTGAAAATTATGCATTTGTGGTTAAAGATGAAGTATAAGGGTTTCACTTAAATAAAGCGTAATTTACCATTCATCTTTTTGTGTTTTATTATAAGTCACTTAATAATTTAAATCATTTAAGTTACAATTTAGTCATCTACTTAACAGAAATTTCAATATCGACCAAAAAAATTCTTATACTTTTCAGATGGAGTAGCATCATAATATAAGAATTGCAAATATTTAAGCAATCTTTGCCACCATAAAGATTATTTCTGAATAAAAGCTGAGTGGCATTTCTGGGCCACATCTTATGGCAATTCGGCTTGTGGCGGAGTCAGAGACACAGTCAAGCGTTTAGTGGGCAGGGCTAGTCTACAAAGACCTGTTTAAGAACAAATGACTTGTATTAAAGAGTTTTTTGCCTATTCTATGGAAAATATTAAAGATATAAGATTTCTAATTTATTATTTCTCCTATATTATGGAAGGCGAATATGAGAAAGAATAAATGATTTTAGAAAAGAGATTCAATAAAGCACGTAGAATACTAGGAACGCAAAAATTTCATACTTTTCTTCCAATTTCTTAGGATAAAATTGAAGCTGAATCTTATTCAAACTCAACAGAATCTCAAATTTTAAATATAACATTTCACTCGAATATTAATGCGAATTTAATATATGGGGAAAAATGGATATATATCATGTATGATATATCTATGACAATAAATGGTGGGTGGCCTATGTTTTAGAAAATAAATCAAAAAGGAGGAGCTGTTAGTTATTTTTTTGCATCCTCAAGGACCCTTAAATACTTATTCATATCCCTCCTTGATTGACAAATTGTGGATACATAAATCGCAATGTGGGCACTCCTTCAACTGCTACTGGACGAACTATTATTTACAGGATGAGACAATTAACACTCATCCTTTTAATTTATTTGAAAATATATATTTATTTATATCTAACTAAATTTTGTTTCAAATATATTTTAAATTATGGAATGAATTCGATTATCTATATGTATTTATTAATAAAAATGAACAATAAAAAAATTATAAGAAAGATATTTATTATTAGAAATTTGATATTTATTAAGTATCTAAGGGGTATTTACCCCCACTATCCCTCAATTTAATTGGTATATTAATAGAAATTCGTAAAAAGTGAAAATATACTGTTATTGGTAAGTTAGCTTTAAGATTTAACCATAATCCGTAGTTTCGTAAGGCGCCATCTATTTTCTTTCAATTTTTAGTAAAAATGTATATTTCGGAAGAGCCGATAGCATCACTAAGGTTTTGACATTTTATATATATTTAATTTATAAAAGGTGTCTAAATAATAGACAAAAAAATTCGAAAACAAACTCCCTTTATTGCTTAAAAACACAGGTAAAGTAATATAAGTAAACTGGAAGTTAAAAACTCAATTTAGTGCCAAATTTTTTTATTTTCTGATAGGCCTTTAGGGATTTTTTTTCTACAATATATGATATATAATTTTTTCTTTTGCTATAAATAGTTTTTGAGATATAAGAATTTTAAAAATTGTAAAGATTCCAAAGAGGCTCTTTTTTGCACCCATGATGGAACCAGGTTTGTGTCTTTCTCATTTTTATACTTATTTAAATAATTCCAGAAATTTTTAACCATTTTAAAAGGGGTCGACCGAATCTTGATCGATTTGACATGGAATGGCCCAATGTCAAAAATAATATTGGATATAAATCCCTATTTAAAAAATATATGGTAGACTTTCAAGAATCTCTTTTCTACATTTAACATATGCAAAGGGTAAATAAAACTATCCTTTTTCATACACTTCTTCTACATGTGTAATAAATCATTTTATATTGAAAAAACTACCATTAGGAATAGACGTGAGCCCTGATGTGGACCAATGGATTGATAAGCATTGCCAGGACGCTGACGTTTTTATCCTTGTAGCTAATAGCGAATCGACTCTTATGCAGACGGAAAAAAATTTTTTCCACAAGGTTGCCTCGAAATTATCCGGTCCTAACATTTTCGTGCTGAATAATAGGTGGGACGCTTCATCTGCTTTTGACCCCGAGATAGTCCAGCGGGTAACAAGTCTTTATTATTATGACCAATATCTATATTAATGTTAAATCTTATTTTATAGTATTTTCTTTCTTTCTTTCTTTCTTTCTTTCTTTCTTTCTTTCTTTCTTTCTTTCTTTCTTTCTTTCTTTCTTTCTTTCTTTCTTTCTTTCTTTCTTTCTTTCTTTCTTTCTTTCTTTCTTTCTTTCTTTCTTTCTTTCTTTCTTTCTTTCTTTCTTTCTTTCTTTCTTTCTTTCATTTCTTTCTTTCTTTATTTCTTTCTTTATTTCTTTCTTTCTTTCTTTCTTTCTTCCAGATTAAATCACCACATTGGCCTTATTATCATTCTTGAATATAATAAACTTTTCAACCAGAGTAAAATTTTTAAGATCGGAAAATTTAGAGGATTGAAATAATTTTTTAAAAAAATTTAGCTAAAATTTAATTAAAAAACTTGTTTGAGCATTCTCAAAAATAGCTTTTTAAAAAAAATTTCAGAAGATCAAAAGCATTGGAGATTTTTTTTTATTTTGAAGAGATTTTCAAACTTTGGTTTAAACTATTTTGTTATTTCAAAAAAAAATAGTTTTGATATAATGAATAAATATATTTATATAAATATGGAATGAAATAAAATATGGATTTTGCTATTTAAATATATCAATGGTAAAATATTAGATTTTATAATAAATACAGAATCAAAACTATATTATGTAATCGTCCAGTATAATTATATTTGTCATTCTAATGACCAAAATTTTAAGCATTTACAAACGAGTGTTATCTTTAAAATATGGATTGTCTTCAAAATTTTTCATTTGCCTGCTCCAACAAAGAGCTTCTTCCTTGTCTATACCAGTCTAAAAAATATATATCATTTCTTATCGTTAGTTTATAAAAAAGTAATAAATATATTTCAAATTTTTATAATCACGTGAAATCAGTTCCCTCATTTTTTGCCCATGATTCTTTCCATTTTCATTAGCTCTGGCATTCGTTATATGCGGTATTTTAATTTGATCCTTCTGCGATAATTTTTGTAGGTTAAATGCCTTTTAACATTATATTACAAATGGGATAAAATAAACATTAAATTTTTAATTTTGTAGTATGAAAAGTTTTAATTAGTTAATAAGTGTTGGGTTGAAAGAAAGAAACGAGAAAGAAAGAAATGGAATCCATGGGGATTCAGAATCTCAATTTTGTATCGTTACAAGGGCGATTTTTGAATTATTTGATTTGGCCGGAAATGTATTTCAACAGTTCTAAAATAAATTACCAGAAATTCACAGTGTGGGTACTCTACATATAGGAACACATTTTCGGAAATAGCTCTCATTAAATGGTTTAAAATTGATCCAATGAATTCCATATCCCAATACAATATAGACACGTAATAAATAGTCAGGGATGGGAAAATGAATTTAATGTTATCTTGAAAGAGAAAAATGGTTCAGATTAGGGTCATGTTACAAAACCCGATTTGGGTCGATTTCCCGATTGAGATTTTGACCAAAATAATATTATGTAAGCCTCGAGATTTGGCAAATAAAGGTTCAAACCTTTCTGTCATCTCTGAACAAAATTTTCAGACTTACATAATATTATTTTGGCTAAAATCTTAATAATCTATCCTACAGCTGTTTTCTGTATTAAAGCTAATATGCAATTAAGCTCAAAATATTAATTAGTTAAAAACCACTTAAAATCCACAGTAATTACCCAAATTGATTACAAACTTATATGTTAAATAAGGGCTTTTGCCCTCCTTGAGGCATATAATACTGCTCTTGCATCTTGGTGTTCAAGTATACACACTCTGGTTCCACTCACCATTATTATTTCTCCCTCTTCATCACAATTCCCACAATCCAATAATGCTATTACTAATTATATAGATCAATTACCCCATTATTAAACCATCTTTGCAATTAAAGCTTACATATCATGATCACATATAATAAACTGATTTGAAGATAGAAAATGAAAATTATAGAAATTCGAGATAGAAAATTTTAAATTTATTAGTAAATGGATTGTATAATTTATGGCAACTGTCAACAAAAATCTCATCACATTCTACTTATATAAATTACATCTGTGATTTTTAACAATAATGATATTCACCTTCACCCTAAATTTGATAAAAATTCCTAATCCATGAGCCTACCAGACCTTAACACAGCACCTACCAAATGTAACTCCCCATTGTGTAATAAACTTATTAAAGTAACCAAATTGGGGTTATTGCCATCTCATTGTAACCATAAAATAAAGTGTCCTCAATCTGGACTACCCATCTTATCACCAGTTATTCCTAGAACCCTTAATGCCTTTTCTGCCCTTGCCCTCACAACTAAACAACCCATAGTCATCATTCCCACATCATTGACTGATGTGCTCACTAACCTAATAATCCCTACCTCCGCTGTCACAAATGCTTCGACGTTTGACCTAGCCGACTCAAATGTAGAAATATTTCTAACGGCACCAAAACCATTTGTAATTTTACGAATACCTAAGGGAGCAAGGCTTCAAGTTACTAGACACCTGTCGAAAAATTTGACTTCCTTGTTAAATAATTATTCTTCTGTAAAACACTGGCTAGACACCCTGTCATTCTTTACTACCTTACAAGTTCTTGATCCTGCCAGCAAAAAATCCCTGACCCAGCAAATTAACCCCTTATCCATCAATCACATTACCACATCTTTTAAGAGTGATTATACAGATAAAAATATAAATCACAAGAATTACCTGCTCACTAAGACCAGGCGAATATCTAAAAAATTGGATAACCTGAATGTTAAATTCACTATACGTCTGGCAACCTCCGACAATAAGCTGGCTTCCTACGATCTAGTAACTTATCAGGCTCTTCTCCCAAAACACCACTCACACGATTTAAAAAGCGAAATACTGATTTACCCTGAATCTCCTCTAATTGCGCCACTTATACCGCAAGCGACGTTACTATTCTCTCCTTCAAACGCGATTCCTCACCTGGGTTCGATGGGTTTCGCCCAATATTCTTACAGGACCTAACCGCACCTTACATATCACAACAATGTGATGTTCTAGAAAAAATACCCAATTAATCAACCGTATGCTTACTGGAGGCATACCACCCGTCATTATTCCACGGAGCTAAACTTATCGCTCTCCATAAACCCAATAAAGATATTCGCCCAATCGTTATTGGAACCACTTGGTGCCGATTAACTGCTAAGCTAGTAGTTAGCAGATTATTGTTCACAATATTCAATCACCTTTGCCCAAATCAATTAGGGGTCAACGTAAAAGGTGGATGTGAGGTATCCCTTCACATGACGTGGATGTATCTGCAAACGGACCCCACCAACGATATCCTAGTCAAAATAGACTTCTCGAACGCCTTTAACTCTCTAAGGCGTGGAGCGTTTCTAAATCCTATTCTCATCCTCTACCCAGAATACTCACAATTTATCTTCGATTGTTATGCTAGTCCCTCGCATCTTCAATTCGGAGATAGATTGATTCCTTCTTGCGATGGGATACAACAAGGTGACCCTCTTGGTTCCTCTTTGTTCTATCTGGGCATTAATGGTCTAATACGAGACATTAATGACCATTGCAAGCTAAATCTTCATAACTGGTATATCGACGATAGTATACTAGGCGGCCCACCGGCTGAAGTTATGAAGGCAATCCAAATAATAAAATCTACCGAGAGCAGTTTGGGACTGCGAATTAATAAAGACAAGAGCGAATATTGTCCTCTTGGGATCATCGACCTTAACCACGATACTATGTTCAATCATACACCAATGAACGCTTTAACACATTTCGGATCTCCAGTAGTTAAAGACGAGTCCTTTATCAAGTTCTTCGCCGATATTTTACGAGAGATATCCCTTATGCGCGATACACTATCTCGCCTCCCACCTCACTAAGCTTTCTTCTTATTAAAGAATTACCTTCTAATTCCAAGAATTTTATATACACTCCGATCGTCACGAATATTTCAATATGACGTCAACCTCGCTGCACACGAACTCCCTCACATAAGATATACTCAATCTTAAATTTGGGGACCTATCTTGGTTCCAGGCTACCTTACCAACCAAATCCGGCGGCATTGGCATAAGGTCATCTTTCCTACTTTCCGTTAATGCGTTCATATCCTCTCGCCTGTTCTGCGAGCCCATCATACACACACTCACAAAACATCCTGACCCCTTACTCCTACAGGCAATTGATCTATGGAAGTCCCTTTCATTAGTCGATCCTCCATCGTCGGCATTACAGAAGGATTGGGATAAACCTTTGCATACCTTAAATCGAGGAGCCAACCCGAGGACCATTCTCTACTCTTCTCCATTTCCGCAGATAGTGGATACGAATTTCTTGAGGCTTTCCCATCGCGAAACCTTGACCAGTTCCTAAGCAATGATGAACTACGTCACGCCATCGGTCTTAAACTTAATTGCGATATAGGTCAACTCTAAAGGCCGTCACTCTACACTGCAAGCGCTGTAGAGGCAGATTCATTAAGCATTCAAAATGCAATGATACCATTGCCAGGGACTTAAAATCCGTCGACATCCCATCAACCCTCGAACCTACTGGCCTTTACAATTCCGATGGTAAGCGGCCCGATGGTGATCCCTTGGAAGAGGGGGGAATTCCTAACCTGGGATTTTTCATGCATCGATCCTCTTGCCCCTTCCAATATAAATAGAGATGCCATACTAGATGCCGAGGCGAATAAACTAGCTAAATATTCGCCATCGCTTCCCGCCAATTATACATTCCTACCATTAATCGCCACGACTCTAACGTCGTTCGGCTCTCATGCCCTGGCTTTCTTTAAAGAGCTGGGAAAACGGATCTCTGCTAGGACCGAGGATCCCAACGAGGGATTCTACCTACGCCAAAGATTAGCCATAAACCTAATAAAATACAACTATCTCAGCTTTGTTCTTTCAATATCTGAAACCCCCTAATTGACCATCCTATGCATAGGATAGATTTTGGCTATTTTGCTGCCAATTATAATGTTAACGCTAAAAGGGAACTTGACTCTCAATCAATAAAAGATAGCAAGAATTAATAACTTTATATAATTGTGATTTACTAATATTATATTTCTTTTTTCTTACTATTATTATAACTTACCTTGTAATAACATATTTATATTTAATAAAAAAAAATAATTTTAATAAAATAAATTTTTTTATACAACTATATTACGTAAATATAACGTTATAAATTTTGTATTTGTATTTCATTTTTTTCTGAAAATATTAAAAATGTAAAAAAAATTATCTTAAAGTTTTAAATACTCCTAGGTATTTGTGATCACATAAAAAATAAGGTAAAAACTGCAAATATTCATCATTTTTATTTATTCAACAAATATACAGAATCGGAATATGTACAAAACAATAATATAAAAACCATTTATAAATTTGTACCTTTAATCCTAACAATTTTTTAAAAGATTTTTTTCTAAACGCCACCTATTCGGCATATTCATTAATCTTACAAATGATAATCTCTCCAACACCTTAGTTGGAAGTACCTTATTTAAAAGTAGAAGTACCTCTTTTTGATGGGTGGATACTTAAAAATAATTTCCATTTCATATGAAAAATCTTCCAAATATTCTAGAACTTCCAGTTATATTTAATTTTTTTTCGCTACACCTCATTCAGGTAAAATAATGAAATTTTTAAATGAAAGATGGTCATCCTTTGACTGATCATTATTGGGATTTGAAAGTGTTGCAAGTGAGTGCAAGCTTGAGTTGAAGTTGTGTATAGAAAGTTGATTAATTTATTATCGATGTTAATTAGATCTCTCACTTAGAATTCTTATTATAGTGGAATCTAAATAAAAGAAAGAATAAAATATATTTAAATAAATTAGGATAAATATATATATAATATAAAAAGAAAACGAATTAATGAACTTGACGATTTTATTTCGATAATGAATTAAATATAAAATTTAGAAAAAATTATAATAAAAAATTTAATGATGGCGAATGGTAAAAAATTAGAGTTTTTATACTCATAAATTAAATTATTTACAGTTATCGCTATTCATAAATATATTTAAACAATTTATAAACTAAAAAAAACTAAATATTTCAATTTGCTTTTTTCTGTTTATCATAAATATAATCTACCGTTAAACATGAAAATTACACAAAATAAAATTTGAATATATCAACAAATATTATAATATAATTAAACGTACTTATTATAAGAAAAATTTGAATATATCGATAAGTATTATAATATAATTAAACGAACTCATAACAAGAAATATTTGCATAAATAAAATAATATTGTCTAATCTACATAATCACGACAGAAAGGATCTCGACTTTACCTTAAGCGCTAAAAGCTTCATTAAATGGTTTTTTTATCATTAAGTACTCACCATTAATTTTAAATATGGCTTGCGATATCAAAGTTAAAAAGGCTGAACTGGATTCACAATTAAATGTAATAATCATTTGAATCCCTTCTGTAAACAATGTTTAAGAGTAGTTGCATGCAACTTTTTAAGAGTTTTTTTTATCGTAAAATTATATTCCAGGCAAATGACCAGCTGGAATTCAAGGATACCATCGCCTTTTTGGACATGGCAGCGGCTAGTGTTGTTAAACGGCTCATTTTGAGCCGATTTTTTAAAACTAACTCAATATTTTAGCCAGGAAAATATTGCCTAAGCCTCTAGATTTCGATAATATATGGCTAGACCTTTGTTCCTTCTATGAGCAAAATCTTGAGGCTTGCGTAATATTTTTCTGGACGAAATATTGAGTTAGCCGTTTTTAAAAATCGGCTCAAAACGAGCCATTTAGCAACACTAGCAGCGGCAAGGGGTCCGATCGTCCACAACACTAAGTCCTTGCTCGTGCCGGTGGAAAGAATAACCTATTTAGGGATCGAAATAGGCTTTACTCATAAGACCACCTCAGTGAAGCAAGAAAACAGATCTTGATTACGCTTCTACCAATTAATAATATATAAACACTCCCTCCCGGCCATGAATATCGAAAGTAAAATAGCATTGGAGGTGCTCGGTATTCTGAATCATTACACTTATTCAATAACGAGCCTTTCTAAGGTATTCGCTCCTTACTATAACACCATGCTCAATCCTGAGGATATCCTCTCATCGACTATCTTAAGGCGTACTCCAAGGCAGTATTTGCTATCTCGGCCTAAGGGCACTAGAGGACCCCGTGGTCTCGCCGGACCTTTTTATTTTTATTGTTAAGTATAGAAAGACAAATGACGCTATTATAACTATGTATATCATATTGTATATAAAGCATGACTGACAAAGTATATATCAAAAAGGCGCATTAGCTTATATAACAATTTAAGATTTCTACCAATCATAGCTATCTGGTTCGGAAATTTCAGGAGGTGAGGAAGACATATTATACGGTAAGAATAATTTTAAAAGATAATTGTTTTACCCGTAATTGCCTTTATATAGGCACGGGACTTTATTTCTCAGCCTATTCTGGATTTCCGAACCTTCTTAATCACAAGAAAGGTAAGGGATAAATATAAGGATATCCTAAAGAAAGAGAAAGATATTATCTCACATTTATTTGCGAATTTGTATAACAAAATATAACTAAAATATGGGGGATAAAGACCACTGGGAGGTGGTGGGGGGCGGTCAATGTTTCTCGGGGCCAAGTTTGTTCCTCTCTATCATTGACGACGGTATTGATCGAGAGCTCTAACGTTCTATCAAATATTGTTGGATAATTCCCGCTCCATTATGTTGATACATCTTCGTTTAGGTTGTCGACCTCGTCGATTAGGTATAAGGGGGTTGATTCTCGGATCCAGGGGAAGGCCTGATCGATCTGGGGCGGCCCTTCTATGTCTATATCATGTAGGGTGGCGAGGGCGTCCTCGCTGTCAATCCATTGTCGACTTGGTCTATCGGCTAAGTTTTGCTCCGACGCGATCCAAGTTAGGTTTCAGCCCAGGTGGAGGAAGTTAAGGAATCCTTCGATAGCATGATATTAGTAACTAGGTATTCGCAAGCGGGGGATCTGGAGCCTCCTTTCTTAATAATCGTGTATGCGACCTGACTGTTCTTTACCCGGGCCTTTTTATATTTGTTGATGGAATATTTGCAACCGACCTATACCTCTGGGAGCTCCTTCTGGTTTATAGGGGCGTAGCCAGCTCGGGAATACCTAGGACCTGCTTAGATTCTTTGAAGGTGGACGAGTATCTCTCGGAGAATGTCTCCGCAATATCTATATGCGTGGAGGAGACGTTTACAAGGATGATAGTGTTAACCGGGATAGGGGAAAGGTTTCATAAGAGCCGAGTTACCAACCACTCTTGGGGTACGTTTTGAGATAGTCGATGGGGAGATATCTTCGGAATTTAACATGGTGTTGTAGTAAGGGGTGAACACCCTAGAAAGGCCCGTTATTGGATAAGTGTAATGATTCAGAATACCAAGCACCTCCAACGCTTAAATATTTCCACCGGCACGATAACGGACTTAGTGTTGTTGACGACCCCCATGCCGCTGCCATGTCCAAAAAGGCGATGCTATCCTTGAATACCAACTGGTCATGTGTGGAATATGATAATGTCATCAATAATATTTGATCTCTTATGTATGTACATTTTTAATAAATGGATAATGTGTAGGTTAGTAATGTCATTTGAGTAAATAGAAAAAAAGGTAACGCGATACCTTAACAGCTATGATATTGCAGCTTATTAATGGAGTCAGATATTTTATTCGCGTTTCACTTGATGAATTTAAAAAAATATTTTTTTCAAAAAGGTTATAAATCAACATACCGAACGGGTGGTACAATTCCTTACAAACGAGCTTAAGGTGATGAGTGAATCCGAAACGAGAGACCGTATATTTTTTGTTTCTGCCAAGGAGGTCTTGCAAACGCGACTAGCTCTTCCTCGTGGCGGAGCCTATAGGTATGTCAGTAAATTTTACTAATCAAGATATTAACCGTTTATACTAACCGAATCGGAACAGTTGAAAAAGTTGTCACCTGAATTTAATTTCTAAAAAAGCATATGAACCGGTTTTTGACAATTTCTTAACTGTATTAAATTATCATTTTTGATATTATTGTGCATTGCTATTGAGAAGTCCGAACCGAACCAAAAGTTGTTGCTGTTTGAATCGGATCCCTGAATAAAATATAAAATTATTATTCATAAGGTCTTCATATGGTTATTACCGCCGAATGTTCTTAAAATTACATGTTAACAATTAATTTATGGAATGTAGCCCTCAATTGCAGCTATCAGACGCCAAAACAAAAGCCAGACGTCCCGACGAAAATGCCGGGGCTGAGGCTCGCTTAGCTGAATTTAAGAGATTTGAGGCTCGATTCGAAGAATGCATATCCAGGTTTATGATTATTATTATACCATTATAATAAGTAGTGTTTATTGATAAAAAAAGGCAAATATAAATTTATCAATGTAGAAATTTTTTTTAAAAATTTGATATATGAAATTTACAAAAGTAAAATAAATTTAAATAAAAATGTGTACAAAATTGGTAAATAATTTATTTTTTATCAACTAAAAATTTTTTTTTTAATTTATGAGGGTTAATTTTTCATTTTTGGGTATTATAGTATCGGCTGTATCAGCTGATATCGTAAGTATCGATATTGGTTCATCTCTTATTTTTCTGGCATAATTTTTTTACTGAATTTCTAACAGAAATACTTCAGGCAAACAAACTGGACAAAAAAATCCTTTAAACTGATGCAAAATATCCATAATTTATTTCAGAAGTAAATCAACCGTTACCCGTCAAAATCCCCCTTTTCTAACCATTTTAAATATTTTGTTTAAAATTGAGGAACATATGAATCTTTTTTTAATATTTTCTTTAAACTTTTTTCTACTATTATCACCTATTTTTTTTAAACATTCGCAGATCCGCTCTGCAAACTAAGTTTGGAAAACATTCTCACCAAGCCCTCTCGATCTGTTCTGCCATTCGATCCGCTTTCGAGGCCAGCATCAACTCTATAAGTGGTGAGCGTGATCTCTTAGTAGCGCGTAGCGTTAAAACTACTCAGAGTATAAAGCTTGTTGACACAGGACTCAAAGAAAGGGCTTCTAAATTCGAGGCGCGTCTAGCTCAGCTGAGAGAATCTGTGAGATTCCAAGTTAGCCAAGCCCTTGAGGCTGAAACCCGGAGGTTACAAACAATCAGGATTTTGCGTTTTTTTTTATCTAATGACGGTATATTTTTCATTTCTTTAAAATGCTATCATATATATAAATATAATTAAATCTACAGATTGGGAGCCTTGGTAGACGAGTTTGTCTGGTCTGGACCCGGTTCAGCCTTCGCTTCAACCGCGTCTTCACATTATAATAGCGGCGATGCGGTTCTAGTGAGATACAAGAGGGAGCTGGAAGCATTTGTGGAGGAAGGATTAAGTCGAAACTTGAGTTCGAGGTGCTTGGCCGACACCCTAGAGGATCTCCAAGGATTTAAACGTGATCTAACCGCCAGTTTTGGTCAGATTTTTCCTATCAGTAAACCCATGGAAAAGAATGACTTTAAACGAGGTTTAAATATACAAAGAAACCATTATGAATATGAAGTTACAATGTTTGTATTTTTAAGAAAAATGTAGGGAAAACTGAAATTAAATCGTCTCTAAGTTTACGATTTAATTTTTTGCCCTTATAATGGAATTGTCAGAATAGTGATTATTACATAATATTTTTAGGATTGGCGCTGTTTATTATAAGCAGAAATAATTCTGAATGAGAGATTAGATTATTTGTAGCATTTAATGACTCTTTCTAGAGAATGTGTTCAAAATTATTAATAAAAAGAATCAGTAAAATTTGTTTGCGAAAAAGATCCCCGCTCAGTTGTTTCCTTTTTACAGAAATAATTATGAGTTTTAAAAATGATACTATGTAATGTTTTTTACAAACGTTTGTGATACCAAAATTAGGAGCTGTGGATCTGAATATAGACGAGGATTTATTATCTCCCGACACGGTTGCCATGCTTCGTACCGCCTTTCATCTCGAATGTCAAGACCTCTGGGAGGATTTTAAAGAACATCTCCAGTTTAGGTTTTCGCTGAGTCCGGCTAGACTAGTCAAACGTCTCTTGATCCCCCTGATTCAAGGTTCCAAGAAGCCTATAACGGCCAGGAGAAAAGATCATTTTTTATATAGTTTCACTAGCCCAGACTCTAAATCAGAGTCAGTGACAAAACTTACTGAACGAGATAAAATAGTCTTCGACACGAATAGGCTTGCCCGAGGCGACGCCATCTCATCTTCTTACTTTCCCGATAAAGTCACAACTGGCGCTAATACTCCCAACGTGGAAAGCGTAGCGTTTGACTATAACGGTGCTCCATCTCAGAGGTAGTTTATGGATTTAAGATTCATCATATTATTTTTTCAAATGCCATAATCTAATAATATACCTTTAAGCTTGATAAACATTTGACTCCTGGGACTTTCTAAATCTCATGTGACCTAATTTTTCGTAACTACTAAATTTGTAATGGTATTTTTAATAATATTATCTTAATTTACGAACCAATATGAAGTTCAGTTAGCCTAGCTAATTAATGCCATTCTTCAATCACCAATATCCTTAATGATGGCCACACCTCACACTACAATTATATTGATAAGCTTAATGGTAACTGGTTGGCTAGTATTTAATCATCTGTTATGCTAGAACTGAAAGTATTTAATTACATTATTATTTAAAATAATATCACTATTTTACGCCTCTCCTTTTTTACACCTTTAAAATATACCAAATGCCACTCAAAATAAAAGAAGAAAAGAAAATAGAATAGAATTATATTTCTTTATTTTGAACATTAATATAAAATTATGAACAGGCCTAAAACGAATTATTCGAACTGAATATAATTGATGAAAAGAAATATTCGTAGAATAGGTTTTTTATTATTCGATCAATTATTCGTATTATTGAAATTATTTGTAAATATTATATTCGGAATTTTTCATAAATATTTTACCCTTTTTTCGGTTATTGTATATTATTTTTATTTTATTTTTTTTTGTTATTTTTTTTTGTTATTTTTTTATGTTTTTTTTTTATGTTATTTTTTTATGATATTTTTTTTTATCAATTTTTTATTTTTAAGTTATATTTTTGAGAATCTTGCATACAAATTTAATTTTTATGTGGTAAAATATTGGAATTATTAATTCCGCATATTTAAGTTATATTTAGGAAAATTTTGCATACTAATTTAATTTTTATTGTGGTAAAATATAGGAATTATTAATTCCGCATATTTAAGTTATATTTAGGAGAATTTTGCATACAAATTTAATTTTTATTGTGGTAAAATATAGGAATTATTAATTCCGCATATTTAAGATATATTTAGGAGAATTTTGCATACAAATTTAATTTTTTTTGTGGTAAAATATTTAAATTATTTTTATAGGAGAATTTTGCCTACAAATTATATTTTTTATTAGGTCTACAAATTTTTATTGACCCCACCTTTGAAGTTTAAGTGATTTTTAACCTTTCTAGTGAAGGGTTAAATCGAAATATAGTATTAAATGACGCAATTAAATATAGTATTCAAATTTATACACGATATATAGTATTAAATACTCAATTTTATTCATTGAATAAATATATATTAAAGTTAATACAATCATTTATAAAATGAATGAAAATGTCAGAACGATTTAACAATTTATATTTTCTAAAATATCTATATTCATGAATATAATCGCGATCCCCATGTCTTTTGTAGTTTGTTTTTAGATCCCGCCACAGCCTTTCGACTTTTTGGGTGTGGATGGATCTGTCATTAGGATCAACAAAATTTCGAGAATGAATGACCCATTACCTACCCCCTCTCTCTTCCATATATAACGATGCGGAATTAAGAATTTCTATATTTTTTTACCCCTAATGCAACATTTTATTCCTATATTTTACCACAAAAAAAATTAAATTTGTATGCAAAATTCTCAAAAATATAACTTAAAAATAAAAAATTGATAAAAAAAAATATCATAAAAAAAATAACATAAAAAAAATAACATAAAAAAATAACAAAAAAATAAAAATAATATACCCCCGAGAGTGGCAGTTAGGTCTGGGAACCAATAGTAAGAACCCAATATTAACAAAATATTGTATTGGTATTGGTATTGGGTCTAAAATATTGGTATTGGTTTAAACAATATTTTCTATTTCTTGTATTGGTATTGCTATTGGTTTATATTGGTAACTATTGGTTTATATTGGTATTGGTTTAAATTCAAATTACTAATTAAAAGAATAGAAATAGTGATTATAAAACCCTTAATTTCTAATTTTAAATAAACATGGGGGAAAAAATCATGATACCATAAAATCAGGGCTAAGAACCAACTCTCAAAATTTTACTGAATTCAAATTCTTTTTTTAAACTAGGAATTTATTAGGTGATGTGAATATAAAAAATTTTGATTTAATCATGTATTTTTTGTATCAACAATAATAAACGTATTGATTTTGAACCATTTTATTTATCACAAAGAACATAGCAAAATAAGTAAAATAAAAATGTAACATAACTGTCTATTTATACACATATAATGCAAAAGAATGATATAATTTTAATATAAGAAGAGGAAATAATTTTATGTATTTAAGAAGAATCTTGCATGCGCATCCAACTTTATAGGCACAGGCAAGCTTGTATAGTTTGCTCATCTAGTGAACAACGTTGGTCTGTTATAACATACCGTCCTTCTGAAAAAGCCCTTTCAGAGCTAGATGAGGTGGCCGGAATTGCTAGATAATCTCTGGCAATTTTTGATAATACTGGATATCTATTTTTATTTAATTTCCACCAATCTAATGGATTTGTATCATTGGAAATTGTGGCTTCATCTACGTATTTACTTATTTCTAAGTTGTTATTATTATGAGGTTTCACCTGATAAATTTTGTCATAAAAGGATAATTTTTTGTTATTTTGTGCTTCATTTGTAAGTTCCGCTGAATTGTTATTATTTATTTTATAAATATTGTATTCATTAGTAAGATATCCAATAAGAGTTTCCATATTATTATGCTTTAATAAATGACTTGATAGTTTAAATCTTGGGTCAATCATTGTTGAAATAATAAAGAGGTGTTTATTATAATTATAGTATTTATTAGTTTTGTTAAGGCAGCTAAAGAGCTGTCTTTAAAATAGCATTAGGATTATTATTATAACTCTCCACATGCTCAAAAATACTGGAATACAAAGGAATAATTGTTGAAATTGTTGGAGTATTAGCACATGAGGCCATCTCTGTAGCAAAATTAAATGGTTCCAGAAATTCTCGGTATATTTCTATATTATTCCAGGCTAAGGCACTAATATAATTTTCTTGATTGGTATTTTGTAAATGATTGGTATATGTTGTCAAATAGGGTTTGAGCAATATTGCTCTTTCAAGTATTTGGTATGTTGAATTCCAACGTGTTGGTATATCCAAAATTGGGTGAGGAAATTTTAAGTGTGGATTTTTTTCAAGATATATTTTTTCGAGTTTATTAAATTTAGATATAGAGAGTTTAAAAATTTTTAAAAAATTTCTTATTTTTTTTAAAGTTGTATTTAAGGGTTCCAACGCAGCCATGACAGCCAAATGTATAATATGGCAAAAGCATTTGCACACATTATCAAAATTATCTTTTTGTTTTAAAATTTTTAGAAATGCTAAATTATTACTTGCATTGTCTAATGTAATGCAAAAAAAAATCAATTTCATTTACTTTTAATACATAATTAAAAATATTAATAGAATTATGTGCTGATTTAAAAGGAAAAAAATCTAATAAATGATTATTTAATTTAAAATCATTATCAATATAATGAATTGTTATGCCCATAAAGGGTATTTTATTTGGAGAGGACCAAATGTCCATTGTTAAGGAAAATTTAGATGTAATGTTAGAAAGTACAGATTTTAAATTGATAAAAAAACTATGATAATGTTTCATAATTTCTATTTTTAGTGTTTTTATAGAAACTAATGTTAGTGAAGGGTTACAATATGCTATTAAATTTTTAAAAGTGATATCCTCAACTATTGAAAAGGCTAAATTATTTTGAATGAAAAAGTTTATAATTAAATTATTTAAATTAGCTTTATTATTTAAATTATTAAGTAAAAATGATTTTATTGTCTTAATTTTTTTACTGCCAATATTTATTTGCTCATATTTCTTATATAATGTTGGGTAAATGGATTTAAGATGTGTCCATAATCCTGAGGTTCCAAAATTGGGAAGTGATATTTTTTTCTTACATTTATTACAAATTGCCTTTTTTTTATTATCACAAGTAGTATAAAATTCCCAGATTTTTGCTGAATTTCGTCTTTTATTAGATATTGATGATTCTTCTTGTTCCTTCGCTATTATTATTAGTACCAACAGCATTTATATTTATTAACTCTATTTGGTCTTCACTTATTATAATATCCTAAATAAATAGATAAAATTGATAGATATCATGTAAAAAATTTACTTCCATAATAAAAATAAACTATAATTATAAATAACAGAAATATTGATATCACAGTAGTATTTGGAAGAAATAACAGATGTAATCAGTTTTTGCAATGAAAGTAAAAAAAATTCCACGATATAATTATCCACGATAAATACAAATAATTATGTTATTTTTAATATTGGTATTGGTTAAAATTGTATTTAAACAATATATCAAAACCAATATACTTAGGTAATTGGTATTGGTATTGGTTGTAAAAGCAATACCAATATTTAAATATATATTGATTTATATTGGTATTGGGGTAATTCCATACCAAATCGATAACTTTTCGGCTCGACCTTTTTAATTTCGATAAAATTTTGTATACTGAGAGAATATCATTAGAAAGCATCGAATCCAAAATTTTAGCCTCCTAGTACTCATAGTTCCTGAGATATCAATGGTCAAAAGTGCCAAAAATGACGTTTTTTCGAAAAATGCGATTTTTTAAAATTGAGATAAGTTAAAAAATAATGATTTTAAAAATATAAGTTATATGTCAATTTATAACTCTATTAAGGGCCTTTTATTGAATATTAAAAATTTTTTCAAAATAATATTGTTGCGGTTTTTATTTAAGTTATAAATTTTAAACATGAAAACTCCAAGTGTTTCGCTTTCCAAATTTTTTTGAATTTAATATTTTCTTATTCTCTAACCTTATATCTATTCATAAAAAAAATTTAAACTTGGGACAGCCATGGGTTTTTTAGTTATTGCGATTTAAAAAATCAAAAAATAAATATTATTTTCAAAAATAGATGGCGCTCCTTTATAAAATTACGCGTTTTGTTAAAATTATTATTTTTTTTAAACTTT